CTAGATCCCTATCTCATACCATTCTGAAAAGTTAACTCAGAATGGATTAAAGACTTAATTTTAAGACCAGAAACCATAAAACTCTTAGAAGAAAACCTAGGAAAAATGTTCCTTGCCATATGTCTTGGCAATGAGTTTTTGGATATAACAGCTAATGCACAAGCAATAAAATAAAAAATAAGTAGAACTGATCAATGAAATTGAAACAGCTTATGAAATGGAAAAAATATTTTGAAAATTTTATATCTGATATAGGTTAATATCTAAAATACATAAAAACTCATACAACTAAATAGCAAAAACAACAACAAAAAAAAAACCCACCCCAAAAACTAAAACTAAATCCAATGGAAAAATGGGTAAAGGACTGAATCAACATTTTTCTAAGGAAGATATATGAATGGCGTACAGGCACATGAAAAGATGTTCAACATTACTAATCACAAGGGAAATTCAAATCAAAACCACAGTGAGGTATCACCTCATGCCTATTAGAATGGGTGTTACCCAAAGGCCAAGAAATAAATGTTGGCAAGGATATGGAGAAAAGGGAACCGATGTGCACTGTTGATGAGATTGTAAATTGATACAGCTACTGTGGAAAATAGTATGGCAGTTCCTCAAAACATTAAAAATACAACTGCCCTATGAACAGAACTAGCAATCCCACTTTTGGGGATATATCTGAAGGAAATGGAAACACTATGTCAAAGGAAGATCTGTACTCTCATTTTCATAGCAGCATTATTTAAAATAGCCAAGACACAGAAACAATATGAGTTCATTGACAGATGAGTGGCTAAAGAAATTGTGGGGTGTTTGTATATAAAATGAAGTATTACTTAGCCACAAAAAGGAAATCCTGCCATTTGTGACAACATGGATGGACCTTAAGGACATTATGAAAAATGAAATAAGTCAGAGAAATACAAATACTGTATGATCTCACTTGTATGTGGAATCTTAAAAAATAACAACTCAAAAAACTCATCAGATTTGTGGTTACCAGAGACAGGGGATGCAGGGAGGGGGAACTGGATGAAGGTGGTCAGGAGATAAACACTTCCAGTTATAAGATAAATAAGTACTCAGGCTGTGATGTACATTATGACAACTATAATTGACACTGATTTATGGTATATATGAAAGGTAAGTCATAAAAGTTATCACAAGGAAAATACATTTTCATGAGATGAAAAGTAAACTTACTGTGATAATCAATTATATGTAAGTCAAATCATTATGATGTATACCTTTAACTTACACAGTGCTGTATGTCAATTATTATCTCAAAAAAACTCCAGGGGTGGGCTAAGGCTGAGTAATTTTCAGGAAGTCATATTGTCAGAGCTAGGAGAGACCAAATCCATACTTGGTGCTGTCTGGGCCAATAACAAGTGCTACTAAGGAATTGGATCTGTACTCTGTACTTGGTGAAAACCCGCAGAGGTTTTTTAAAAGGATGGCAAGATTAATAGCTGTATTTTCCTAAATTCATGCTGTTGGGGGGTGGTACTCATGCCTGGGGTGGGAAAGAGGCTAGCGGCCGGGGTATAAAAAGTTGGGGGTGGTACTCATGCCTGGGGTGGGAAAGAGACTAGGGGCCAGGGTATAAAAATGGCTGTGTTTATACCTAGTGTTTATTTGGTGGTGTCTCTCCCATATGTACACTCAAGCTTATTTTAATACAGCTGTTTTGGAGCCTCCGGAGGAATGCTGCATCAGTGTTCACTATCTATAGCTGATTAACTCAACCACTCCCGGTGAGCCTCTAGGGTACTGTGAAGAGCCCCAGGCCCCAGACCTGATTTTTCAGTGCAGCAAATGGGAAATAACCTTCCCGAGTCTGCTAAAAGCTCCTTGCATTGCCTGGTACAGCCCCTCCCTCCTATCCTGAAGGCTGGTTTTTGTCAAACTACATGGTTCTTACTTTCTCTTTCTGGAAAGTAACAGACTATGGTGTCCCTTTAACTAGAATACATACCACATTTCTAAAAAGTGAACTATAGAGAAAAGCTATAGAGTTAGTTAAAGGGCAATACTGCTCCACAGTTCAGTTCTTTTTACAATCCAAAGCATTTTTCACACCCTCTGCTGTGTGGGCAGAAAACTTGCTGGGAGGCCCAGGTGTTAGCTGAAGGTACAATCCACCACTACTCCCAGCTTTTAATGGGCACCACTGCCACCTAATGGACTCTGGTGTGGAGACTGAGTCTGTGCCAGGTGAAAACACTGGTCCCAGTAACGGCTTCTATTCTCTCATTCTCAAGAAAAACAGACACTCCTATTTGCTGAGAATTCTAGATGCCAGTCATCCCTTTCAGCCTGGGACTCAGGGGCTCTGTGGTCTGGTCTGTCCTTGCCTATTCACTCAGGACATGCTGGAGAAGAATTGACAGCAAGGTGGCTTATGCATGTTCAGGTAAAAAGGAAGTGTTTTACTCAGCAACTGCTCTTAGCCACAGCAACTTTCCAGCCTAGCTTAGCTTGTACAGTATCCTGTTTGGATCTTTAAAATAGGTCTTGAGTGGGAATAAAACTCAACACTTATTCTCTGTGCAATTTAAGCTTCATTTTCTCTGGGCCCAAAAATTCCACCTGCTCGCCCCTTCTCTGTCCATTTTCCAGTCTGCCTGTCCCCTTCCTCAACATGGCTCCTATAATAGCTGCAACTATAGAGCATTTATGTGACAAGCCCAATTCTCTACCACTCCTTGTTGCTCCTTAGGACTGGAGTCAGAAACCACATACTATTCTACGACAGCCCCTTTGGGCTACTGTACTTAAAATGGAAGATGGATAAGGCTATAACAGACTCAATGAAAGTGTTTTTACTGTGATCTGATGTAACTTCCCACAATGTGCAGCATCCCTTTAGGAGTTGATGTCCCAGGTCTCAGAATTGCACAATGGTGCAGCCAGAGGGGACCTATGTAATTGCCTCAGATGGATAAGGCTATAACAGACTCAATGAAAGTGTTTTTACTGTGATCTGATGTAACTTCCCACAATGTGCAGCATCCCTTTAGGAGTTGATGTCCCAGGTCTCAGAATTGCACAATGGTGCAGCCAGAGGGGACCTATGTAATTGCCTCCCCAAGTGGGCACACAAACTATGAGCCCACTGTTCTTGGGGGAAATGACTGAAGGCTCATTTGCTGCTATGGACACTTACTGACAGGACCTGTCAGCTTCTGACTCTTCAAAGGAGTCAAAGAACAGTGACAGGTAGAGGAGCAGCTGTGGGGCCTGCCGTGGTCAACCTTGATGGCTTGTTCAGATCCCAGGTTTCAGCTGAAATACTTAAAAGGTTCCTCGGAGATGGTAGCCAGTGCATGTCCTGGCAGAACTCCCCAAGGACGGGGAGCAAGGACCACTCCCACCTGTGGCTTCAGGGTCACCGTCTCAGCCCAAAGACAGCACTGGCATTATTCGCTCCGTCCCTTTGGTAGGCTGAGTAGCCTCTCTGTGCTTCAGTTTTCTCATCTGTGGACTGGGGATAAGAGCAGTATCTACCTCACAGGGTTACTGTGAGGATTAAACGAGTAATACATGTAAGACTACTTAGAACAGTGTCTGGCACAAGTGCCCAATAAGTGCCAACTACTGTTTACAACAGCAATGACATCCCCCTGTAACACTGCCCTGAGGGTGGGCACCATACGGGCAGCCCTTCTCCAGCTCACCCTGAGGTGGAGAGCCTGAGGCCTGCCTCCACCTCCATTATCTTTGGCCACAGCAAACACTATCTTTGCTAGGAATGCCAGCGACAGTCCTGTGGTTTTGAGTCAGCTGGATCTGCACCACTAGGACTGGTCATTTTTCCTCTGAGACCATTTGCTTCTCTGAAAAATGGGGACAATAATCCCTATCATGACTGCTTTCTGCGTGGTTGGGAGAGCAAAGGGAATCAGGCACAAGGCAACTATACGGCCAAGGTGACTAAGACTGAGCTGAGATGAGGATGCACTGTAGCTCAGCCCGTGCAAGAATGAAGCAGATTGCCTGGCTCTGGGTGAGGCAGTCCGGCAGGAGAGTCCTTGAGACCTCTCCCCCGACCTCACAAGAACCTTCCTCTCTCTCATCTCTCTGCCAGCATTAGGGTCTCTCCGGCCCTTTTATCTCCTGACCGAGGTGCTGACATGTGGCACACCTGTGCTTGCCATGATTTGCTTGCATTGTCCCCGACCAACCTTCCTCTCTCTGGAGGTGGAGGCCATGTGACTCCCACCTGCTGACGGGTCCCACCCTTCCCTCGTCATCACTGTGTGGCTTCACCAAGACTGAAGCCCTAGAGGGGCTTGCAGTGTAAAGGAGATGATGAGATAAGTGACGACCTGCAGCAGAGGGCTCCTGCAGCCTCCCCTGATCACTCCCAGAAGGTATTCGTCACCATATTTCAGGAATCCTCCACCACTGCTCCAGCACCCATCCTACATTCTGAGCTTGGTAAATGCTCACACAGGTTTTTGTAATAAATTTCATTCAATCTACTATATCCTGGTCCTAGTTTTAGTATTTGGGGTAGGACGAATTCCTAGGTAGTAAAGACATAAAAGAAAGAAAAATGAAATATCTTACATGTGTAGTGCTTTAGAATTTATGAAGCACAAATTATCTCATTCTAGCAACCTGTCATATAAAAAGGATAGGTGCAGCAATTGTTAAATCCTGTTTTACAGATGAGGAAACTGAGGGTCAGGGAGACCAAGGGATTTGTCTAAGGTGAGCAGCCTGTTAGCTCCTCACCTGAAGCTCAGGTTTCCTGGTTACAAATGGAGGGCCTTTTCTTTTACACCAGGCGATCCTGGGTGCTTTCCTATCTTTCTTCCAAAAAGCTGTTATCCAGTGTAAGTTACTAGGATTAACACGTGTGTGAATTTCATGGCTACTAGGTTCAATAAAAGCGGCCTGTCTTTGCCAGCATGGGAATTCACTTAGGAAGTAAGCACAGAGCAGGTGGGTGTCACAGCAGGGGTACTACAGCACTGGCTTCCTACCTTCTCCAGGCCCACTGGATGATGGCTGCTGCTTTGTTCTTTTTGCGAAACAGCTCTTTCCTGCTTCTTTCCTTCTGGATTATCTGCAGCCGCAGCTCTACAGGGAGAAGGTCAATATTCACACTCTGCCCAGAGCGGGGACCAGGTGCTGCATCAGTCTCTTTGGATATCTGAGCGTCCTCAGAGAGGGCAGATGTCCCCAGCTTCCTGACTCCTGACCTCAACACCTCTGTGGTCTGTGGCAAATGTGAATAGATCCTTCCTTCGAGCTTGTCCTGTGTCACTTTGTTTCTTGGTGTCTGGTGGTGGAGAGGATTCTGCCCATCATGGACCACCTCCCCCTTGGCACTGCCAGGCCGACTAGAGCCAGCTGGGGAGCACCTTCCTCCTCTGAGCTCTTGAATACGCCTTTTCTGGGAGGCACATTTGGCTTTGGGTGCTGTGTTGTGCCGCCTGCTGGTCTTCCAGTGGCCATCTTGCTGTGGAAGGCTTGCAGCTGCCCAACTAGGGTCCTCTCCTTTCTCATCAGGCCCAGCTGCCCTGACACAAGAGGGCTGCTTCAAGAAGCCTTTCCCCTTGTCACACCGCTGTTCTCCAACCGCCTCACCTCTGGACTTCTCAACAGAGGAGACTCCTGGATGCCTGTTTCCATCACTGCCTTCACTGGGGCTGACGTGGACACAGGCAGATTGGCCTTTACACTGTTCCCTTGATGTTTCTTGGGAGACAGAAAAAGGAGAAGAATATTTATTGTCCAAAACTTGCATCATAGGGCAGTTCTGCTCACTTGTTCACATAAAATATTGATACTAAACCAATGGCATATTGATGCACATGATAGTCGTGATTCTCATTGGAAAAAACTGCGTTACTTCTGTTTCCAGCAACAGAAGGTTAGATGACCTGAATGCCTTCCCACTACCTAGAAATGCTGACCAAAATATAATGAGCATCCTTTTAAAAGCACTATAGGGCCTTCAAGAGAGGAAACCCACAGGGGCCAAAAACAAAGAGGAAAGTGAAAATCAGAGCAGTAAGTCTGTGAGTTCATCTAGCAACTGTCAAGGCAGGCAGTAGTGGCAGAACAGGCCACAGTTGGTCTTATTAAATATCTAGTTCTGTTTTAATATCCAGATAACAGAGAAATGAGGCCTTGCAGGAAGGAAATTAACTAGAGCCAAGCCAGGCTGTGCATAAAGCCAGGACTTGGTGGTATGCCCTTAGGAAATGATAAAAAAGACATAAAAAGTCTGCTTGCCAGCACTAGGAGATCGCAAGCAAGTTGGTCTCAACCTGGATTCCAGACGGGGTAAATAATCTAGGAGAATTTGAAACCAAATTCCTGTGCTTCACATGTGTTTGGTACTCGTTTATTTTCAACCCATAGGAAAAATAAATATAAAAATAGGTCTCAGGATGGTGGTGGAGCAGGATGCTTCACAGAAGCAAACAGTATTGCTTTAGAATGGCATTCCCTCAACTCAGGCTGCACAGAGGGATCCTTCTGAGAATGACTTCACAATCCAAAATTATAAAATGCATGAGCAAACAATCCACCATGAGCGACAGGTAACAGACACAATAACAATATTAGATTAAGAACTTGAGCTAATAGAACAGCGTGCACACGCAAACATACATGCACATGCACCAATGAAACAAAATAAATTTAAAATATGAGAAATGAATAGATACATTTGAGAAAGAACCAAATACAACATCTAAAGTGAAAAATTTAGTCTTGATGTAAAAAACAATGAAGGAATTTCTGCTTCTGTAATGAGAATTGAGGCATACTTAGCAGTGAGGACAACAGAAAAATTGAACCAGGTATTACAAACTACCTATATGAAGGCTTTGAAGAATTAACAAGGCAGAAAAAAATGTGGGGCCAAGATCCATGGGAATTAGGTAACCAACAGAGATGAGCAAGGCATTTGGGACCACATATCCCAAGAGGAATCACCCTACAGAGGTTTGGAGACTAGAACCTGCCAAGAAGCATTCTTTTGGACTGGGACCCAGAAGGGCTGTCTTAGGAGAAAAGGTAAACTGGTGGTAGACTGATCCTAGCATGGACTGAAGCCTAGCTTTGCACCATCTCAGTTCTGGCAACTGGATTAAGGTGCTGTTGGATTGCTTGTGTTCCTAAATGCCTGCCAGATGCCAATGTAAATCCTCTCTGGAGAAATTAATATCATCTTAGATCTCAAGTTATTTCTACAGTTTTTAAAATTTTGGTATCACTAATATAAAATCATACGAGCAACATTCTGGTTACTAGATTCCCCCCATTATCAAGTCCCCACCACATACCCCATTACAGTCACTGTCCATCAGCATAGTAAGATACTGTAGTCATTACTTGTCTTCTCTGTATATACTGCCTTCCCCTACATTATGTGTGCTAATCGTAATGCCCCTTATTCCCCTTCTCCCTCCCCCCTCCCCCTCTCCAGTCCCTTTCCCTTTGGTAACTGTTAGTCCATTCTTGGGTTCTGTGAGTCTGCTGCTGTTTTGTTCCTTCAGTTTTTTCTTTGTTCTTATACTCCACATTTGAGTGAAATCATTTGGTACTTGTCTTTCTCTGCCTGGCTTATTTCACTGAGTATAATACCCTCTAGCTCCATCCATGTTGTTGCAAATGGTAGGATTTGTTTTCTTCTTATGGCTGAATAATATTCCATTGTGTATATATACCACATCTTCTTTATCCATTCATCTACTGATGGACACTTAGGTTGCTTCCATTTCTTGGCTATTGTAAATAGTGCTGTGAGAAACACAGGGGTGCATATGACTTTTTCAAACTGGGCTCCTGCATTCTTAGGGTAAATTCCTAGAAGTGGAATTCCTGGGTCAAATGGTATTTCTATTTTGAGCTTTTTGAGGAACCTCCATACTGCTTTCCACAATGGTTGAACTAATTTACATTCCCACCAGCAGTGTAGGAGGTTTCCCCTTTCTCCGCATCCTTGCCAGCATTTGTTGTTCCTAGTCTTTTCTATGTTGGCCATCCTAACTGGTGTGAGGTGATATTTCACTGTGGTTTTAATTTGCATTTCCCTGATAATTAGCAATGTGGAATATATTTTTATGTGCCTATTGGCCATCTGAATTTCATCTTTGGAAAAGTGTTCATATCCTCTGCCCTATTAAAATCTATTTTTTAATAGGGTTATTTGCTTTTTGGGTGTTGAAGCATGTGAGTTCTTTATATATTTTGGATGTTAGCCCCTTGTCAGATATGTCATTTACAAATATATTCTCCCATACTGTAGGATGCCTTTTTGTTCTGCTGATGGTGTCCTTTGCTGTATAGACGCTTTTTAGCTTCATGTAGTCCCATTTGTTCATTTTTTATTTTGTTTCCCTTGCCCAAGGGGATGCGTTCAGGAAAAAGTTGCTCGTGTTTATATTCAAGAGATTTTTGCCTATGTTTTCTTCTAAGAGTTTTATGGTTTCATGACTTATATTCAGGTTTTGTGACATACATTACTTTTGTGCATGAGGTTAGATAATAATCCAGTTTCATTCTCTTGCATGTAGCTGTCCAGTTTTGCCAGCACCAGTTGTTGAAGAGGCTATCATTTCCCCAATGTATATCCATAGCTCCTTTATCGTATATTAATTGACCATATATGCTTGGGTTTATATCTGGACTCTCTAGTCTGTTTCATTGGTCTATGGGTCTGTTCTTGTGCCAGTACCAAATTGTCTTGATTACTGTGGCTTTGTAGTAGATCTTGAAGTCAGGGAGCATAATCCCCCCGCTTTATTCTTCCTTCTCAGGTATTTCTACAATTTTTAAATATTAAATGCCTAGCACTCAATAAAAATATACAGGCAGATGAGAAGACAAGAAAATACTCAGAAAGAGAGGGAGAGAAGTGACAATAAAATGGACAGGTTATTTAGATAATATGTTTTCAGAAAGAGATTTTAACTATTCTTAAGTGTAAAAGAGTAAACAATGCTACTCTTCATTTAAGACAGAAGGCGATATAAGAAATTATACTGTGTCTGTTCATTTCTATAAAATAAATATGGAAAAGATAAGCCAGAAATGGAGGATATTTGATACCTACAGAGATGGGGTGGGAAAGGCATAGGAAGAAGAGGGGAATGGGAACTGGGTAGTCCAGGGATGAGGAGGAAGCAACCAATATGTCCTTCAGTAGTTAAATAGACATAGTGTGAAACATCCAGACAATGTAATAATATTCAGCACTAAAAAGAAATGAACTAGTAATGAAATGAGTGCTAAAATGAAATAAGGTATTAAGCTATGAGGATATTCCTAAGTAAAATGTTACTTCACCTGCATGAATATAACTAAGGCTTATTACTGAGTAGAAGAAGCTAATCTGAAAAGGCTACATATTATATGATTCTAACTATATGACATTCTGGGAAAAAGGTAAACTACGGAGACAATAAATGGGCCAGTGGTTGCCAGGGGCTTGAGGGAGGGAGGGATGTATATGCAGAGCATAGAGGATTTTCAGGGCAGTATGATGGTTAGTTTTGTGTTGATTGGGATTAGGGATGCCCAGAAAGCTGGTAAAACATTATTTCTGGGTATGTCTTTGAGGATATCTCTGGAAGAGATTAGTATTTGAAATGGTAGACTGAGTAAAGAAAATCACTCTCACCAATGCAGGTGAGCATCATTCAGTCTGTTGAGGGTCTAAATAGAATAAAAAGGCAGAGGGGAGGCAAATTTGCTCTCTTTGCTTGAGTTGGGCCATCTAGCTTCTCTCAGACACAGGCGCTCCTGGTTCTCAGGTTTGCAGACGTGGACTAGGACTTACACCATCAGCCCCTGGATTCTCAGGCTTTTGCCTAGGGAGGGAGGGATGTATATGCAGAGCATAGAGGATTTTCAGGGCAGTATGATGGTTAGTTTTGTGTTGATTGGGATTAGGGATGCCCAGAAAGCTGGTAAAACATTATTTCTGGGTATGTCTTTGAGGATATCTCTGGAAGAGATTAGTATTTGAAATGGTAGACTGAGTAAAGAAAATCACTCTCACCAATGCAGGTGAGCATCATTCAGTCTGTTGAGGGTCTAAATAGAATAAAAAGGCAGAGGGGAGGCAAATTTGCTCTCTTTGCTTGAGTTGGGGCCATCTAGCTTCTCTCAGACACAGGCGCTCCTGGTTCTCAGGTTTGCAGACGTGGACTAGGACTTACACCATCAGCCCCTGGATTCTCAGGCTTTTGCCTGGGACTCACACCATCTGCTCCCCTGGTTCTCAGGCCTTCACACTCAATAAATCATATCACCTGAAAATCATGGGACTTCTCAAGTCCTCTATAATCAAGTTAGCCAATTTCTATAACAAATCTCCTTTTTAATATATATCCTATTGGTTCTGTTTCTCTGGGGAACCCTAATATAGGCAGTGCAATTATTTTGCGTGATACTATACACATGCCAAAATCCATAGAATGTAAAACACCAGATATAAACCCTCACATAAACTACAAACTCTGAGTGATAATGATGTGTCAATGTAGGCTTATTAACAAATGCACTGCTCTGGTGTAGGACATTGATAGTTGGGGAGTATGTCCATGTGTGGGGCCAGGAGTATATGGGAACTCTGTGCCTTCTGCTCAGTTGTGGGTGAATATAAAACTGCTCTAAAAAGTAAACTCTATTACCAGGAAAGCAAAGAAAAATAATGAAGAGATTGCTGGATATTATTAGAT